AAAGAAGAAAAAACCCATAGCAAAAGAAGAATTACAACAAGAGCTCTTGTAGAAACTTCTCCGTGTTAGAAGTTTCTTAATTAGAAGATGTATTCACTATTCACAGGTTAAACAAAGATTATCCTGCCACATTCCATCTATCAAGTTCTGCGCTTTCATTTATACAGGTATTTGTTAGCATTCAAAAGACCTTCTCAACAAAAAAATGGTTGGCATTCAGAAGCAACCTTTCTCAGAGGATCCAATGATCCGATACTCTGTTACAGCAAACTGTGCTGATGGTTCTCTGACATCAGACATAATTGTGATGCGCTCAGATTTTCCATTGTCCAACACCACCTGGAAGATGGAAACACTACGAAATCAATTTTACAGAAAACTTATTCTGTAGCGAAAAATGTTTAACTATGCATTAAACAATTGATGAAGGAGAAAGAAGACAGCAGGTTTGAATTTCAGTTATGAAACACCCCCTCCCTGTTCCAAATAAACCCTGACCCATTGAGCATTTAAATATTGTTGACGAGAAAATGTAATAAAGATAAAATTCGGGAAATATAAACTGATGGACGAATTACGGCATCACAAGATGTAGTTGATAAAGTCAATCTTGACCAGAGTTCTATACAGGGTTGGATGCCCTGCATCCCAGTATGCCATTTACATATCAAAAAGGAATCGTGAACAGAGCTCTTTAATGTGTCGTTCCTGTTAAGAAAGTGCTTATGCATTATGACCTTTCAACTTTCTCATTCTATCAGCTTTTCTGCTTGAAAGGGAGAATTTTGACTTAAGCTGAGTTATTGAGTTGGTGAAGTCCAATGAAATCAGTTGCTCCTGACTCCTGTGTGTAGTTTCATAAAATGATAACTTTTTTTCCAACATCTGCCCATGAAACAATCTTCTCACTTGCGTTACTACTCAGCCTTGCACCATTCCTTGAAAATTGGAATAATTGGTACTATCTCATAAATCCAGGATAATGTAAAAGCTTCTATAGAGACCGTCAAGATTTGTGAAACATGACACCTGGCAGAAAGAGAAAGTTGCTCCTGACTCCGGCGTGTAGTTTCATAAAATGGTCTGACATGATAACCTTTTTTTCCAACATCTGCCCATGAAACAATCTTCTCACTTGTGTTACCACTCAGCCTTGCACCATTCCTTGAAAATTGGGATAACTGATACCATCTCATAAATCCAGGATAGTGTAAAAGCTTCTATAGAGACCGTCAAGATTTGTGAAACGTGATGCTACCTCAAATACCCAAGACTCCACCGACACTTGCAAAAAGTTAAGGGGTTCCCCCTTTTTACCCTATTTATTATAGAGGAAGCTCCCCTAATTTGTCATAAAAGATGAACTACTTCATATTGGAGTGAAACATATTCAAGGAGACCACCTCTTTTTTGTAAGTAAATAATAATGCTCAAACAGACTGGAATTCGATATAGAGAATTTTCCAACTATTTCAGGATTGGGGCATAGTTGATTGATAAGATCGCTTTTTGATAAGATTGATAGATAGAACGTTATACAGGGAGTTGCACAAATATGCTAACAAGATTAGATTGCCAAACCTTTGCCAGTGGTACTGATATCACCCCTTTGGAGCGTCTGGGACATCCTATGACAAGTGCCCAGTACCTCTTCTGCAAAACTCTTTTCTTGCTTTCAAGATCCTTTAGAAGTGAAAGGATAAATCAGGTTTGTCAAAGCAAATAGACTTGAACCGTGCGGTCATTAGTAAGTTCACCATAAATATTGCAAAGAACAACAGTATACCTCAGTTTGTGTGCCAAATGTTTTCTCACGGAAGACAGAATGCAGAACTGAAGCACTTAATTGTGTTCTTCCCATCACCAATATTCCGCTACAATCTCTATCAAGTCGGTGTACCTAATAAACAATAAGCTTGTCCACAGCAGGACAGACAGACATAAGATTTGCTAAAAGGGTACTCAGCACATAAAGACAAGCAAGCGGACATTAAGAGTGTTCTCTAACATAAGTAGCTGAAGAGAGGGAGCCGGGAGGAGCAATTAAACTTGACAAATTGAAGAGCAATTTCCTTACCTTACGCTATAACATCCATGAAACTCAAAAAAAATGAAAGTCTTCAAACAACATATATGGCATCATGTGCAGATTTTCTAGATTTAGTGACAGATTGAGAGGTTCTTCCTCTAACATCCCACTACAAAGACATGTTTACAAAGCTGATCATTGCAAGATGCATATACCTGCAACATAGCTTAGATCCTAGTAGACTTTCATATTTTACATTCATTCTACGTACATATTTCTTTTCACAGCAATGATTAGAAAATGTTGTGGTAGAACAAAAATATAGACAGCCACAACTTGTTAAATATAAAATTTTCATACTACAGCCTAGACACAAGCATGAGATAATGACTTCAGCTTTTACTAAAGAAAGAAGAACAGGCAATTAAATGAAACAAGTAAATGCCAAAACCATGAAACTTACCAGGCGAGGGGCCTCTGAGTACTCAAATTTCATATACTTAGCAGCTAGTTCATCTAAACTTCGTTTTATGCCAATTCCACCCTGTCCAAAATTCCAGTTGCTGTAACAGGAATATTAACTTTCACAATCCCACAAAGAGAACTTGGATGTGCACAACTAACCTGAACTGGTAGTCCTGGAGGTTTATTGAGAACAATAATTTCTGGATCCTGACAATTTTCCGGAAACAGAAGCTGAAGTCAGACTTAAAAAGCACATAGGTTGAGTTTGTCCCCCCTTCATATGCTATTGGACTAGACTGGGGAATGTTGCAGCAAGGGGAAGAATTGGGAAGTCAAAAAAAAAGCTATAAATTTCAGACCTTATACAATTCAAGGCTATGAAGAAACTTCATTTCTTCTTCACTAGAAGGGTAATCCGTTACTTTATCGGAGGGAAACTTCTGAACAGTTATTGGAAGAAATATTCGATCCCCAATGTTCATTGGCTCCTTGGCAGCAACCTTCAAGAAACATGAAATATCAGATTAAGACTTTGTAAATCCGTAAACTGGTCATATGGCAGCAGAAGACATCTTATGCCAAGAGATGAGAGTCGCGTGATATCTTACGTGAGAATCAACAAATAAATCCCGGAAGAGAAATAAATCATACCCTCTTGGGCCGCTGTACTTCAACATCAGAAGATTCTCTTCGAACCTGAAACGATGATATTGCTAAATCAACCATGTGATGTAGAAGACATGTATAATTTTTTTTAATAAGACATGTAATAAATAAATTCTAGTCGATATTTTTTGGTGAAAGCTCATCCCAGACATTAGCTTTATACATGCAAAAGAACAAGAGTTCTCTAACTTAATACTAGTAAGTGTTGAACAACGAATTCCATGTACACATATCCTTATTATCTTACAGCACTTTGTCTTAATTTTGGTTTAAAGAAACTGCAGAAAAGGAGTTACTAACTAATATCTTAAGTAGCTGCACATTAGTGAAACTTATTATGCCTACTAATGGTCACTGACTTCGTTAGGAAATAATCTGCAGAATCAGAAATCAAGAATGAGATCATATACTTGCTTAATTATTTGGTCAAATCTGCACTTCCCCTCTCTCTCGCCTCCACAGATTTTCAGCACATGTATAATTAGAAACGACAACATCTAGCACTTCAATGTTAAAAGGCAAGGGTTCTCTTTTATCCAATTGTTCAATTATGATTCTTAATGCCATAAATTGTAAATATGAGTGCTATGAACTTTATAATTGCATATGAGCCTTCTAAGATAAAACAAAATTCCTACTATAATTTATGACAAAGATGATCCTACCAAAAGATTGTTTCTTTGTTGTTCTATACATTAAAAAATCTTAGAATCTGCATAATGATGATGCAAAAGCAACTTATAGGAAAATCAATTTAATTTAAGCAAAAAAGAATAATAATGTACCTTTAAAAATAAAAAATAAAAATTGTACCTTTAATATATTTTCTGATCAAACCTAGTGAGAATATGTAAATTAACACACATTAAGACAATGTAATGATTGTAACATATTTGGGACCTGTCTTAAGCGAAAAAGCTTCTGTACTAGTGACTGCGGCAACTCCGGGCAGCAACGATGAACCCATTTGAGTGCTGTCAAAGTGTTAGTGGATTTGCCCATTTTAACTCCGGCAAGTTCCTTCCCTAAAGCAGCGCCGTTAACGGTGGGATTGAAGGGTGGTAGAGTGAACCACTTGCCTTTCTTGCTTTCATTCCCACTATTATTATTAAAGCCTTGTGCATCCGCTGCTGCGGTGGCGTAGTAGCATCGACACTGATAAAAGCCTGAATACAGCATCTTGACTTCGTCGGAGAACCGTCGAGCGCGGTGGAACACTCGCCCCAGTAGGCAAGACTCTGCCATAGCGGTGGTTCTGGGTCGGGTTTTGGGTTTTGGATTCGTAATCAAAGTGGGTTTTGTATGACGGGAGTAAAATTTGCTGACCGCGATTAGTATTATAGGCCATATTTGCTGACCGCAACTAGTTTTTGCGGACCGGGACTTATTTTGCTGACCAAGACACCTCGCACATTATTATGGGGAAAAAAAATCAGAAATGGCGATAATAAAAAATAGTCATCTTTTCAGGTAAAGAAAATTTGAATAAAAATTTTCTTAAAATTAAGAAAAATTTCAGTATAATATGTTAGAGTTAGAAATTTTTATATATGAGATTCCAGCATAATATACTGAAATTTCATAATATGCTGAAGTTCCAACATAATATGCCAGAAGCTTATACGCATGAGCTCCATAATCCAATATATTATGTTGAAACTTTTCGTATGCTGGAGTTCCAACATAATATGCTGGAAGTTTATACGCATGAGCTCCATAATCCAGCATATTATGCTGAAACTTTTCGTGTTCCAACAAAATAATAGCTATTTTTCAATAACTTTGCAAACATTGACTATTTTTCAATTATCAATCCGAAAACTGGTTAGCCCGTGCTATTTTCACATTATTATGCGACTTACACTTCCTAAATGGGCTAAACAAGCACATGTTTCAGACAAACCCCCAAGCCTGTGAAATTACATGGGATAGCCACTTTTTAATATGGTATTTAATTTTTATTCAGTATTTTTAATGCTGAGCAAAAATAATCACTACTCTATTAAAATTAATATGAAAAGATACACACATAAAGTTAAGGACGTCATGTCCCTAACATTTACACTACACGGGCCAACGACGGAAGGCATGGGCTATAGCACACGGAAATATGGGAATCGGGCGGAATTCTAGTTTTATGGCCGCAAAACACCAAAAAATGATGAACGGTCATGGTGGGGCGGTGACTGTGGTTCCTTAGGTTATATTTGATGTCCCGGAAAAATTTTAGGCAATCCGGGTCCGGGGGCCCGGATCTACGACGGAGGCGTGGGTTATAGCACACGAAAATATGAAAATCGGGCGGAATTCTAGTTTTATGTCCATAAAATGCCAAAAAACAAGGAACAGTCATGGATGAGCGATGACTGTGGTTCCTTAGGTTGTATTTGATATCCCGAAAAATTTTGAGGCGATCCGGGTCCAGGGGCCCGAGCCCACGGCGGAAGGCGTGGGCTATAACATACGAAAATATTTGAATCAGGCGGAATTCTAGTTTTATGGCCGCAAAATGCCAAAAATGAGGAACGGTCATCGCGGGGTGGTGACTGTGGTTCCTTAGGTTGTATTTGATGTCCCGAAAATTTTTTGGGCGATACGGGTCCGGGAGCTCTGGCCCACAGCGGAGGCGTGGGCTATAGCACATGAAAATATGGGAAACAGGCGAAATTCTAGTTTAATGATTTTGAAGAAAAACTTAGAAATTGGTATTTTTAATTATTCACCACGAAAATAGTTATGGAATTGGATGAAAATTATATATTTGAGTTCTTGAGATTATGGGTAACGATTCCCTTTGAAAATTTTTGAAATCCGGATACGTGGGTCCGGGGTGAATTTTAGAAATTTTATCATTTTGGATAAGGTAATTTATTTAATAGATAAAATTTGAATCATTTAGCATATATTAATTATTTTGTATAATATTTGGATAGTTTCGGATTTTTCGGCGTCGAATCGAGAATTCAACGCGACGTGGTAATCGGAAAGTGGACTTTGAGACGAGGTAAGTGATCATGCCCAACTATGCCTTGTAAAAAGGATTAAGCGGTCGCTGCAAATATAACCCGGTTCAAGTCCGGAGTCGAATCCTACGGGGAACTAACCTATTTACTACAACTTTAAATAATGCTAATGATAAGCTCAGACAACTTTCGGGTGCAAGAGTTTTATGAATAATCAGTGGAATTTATTTAGTTAAGGAAAAATGACAATAAAATTAACAATAATCAAGACTAAAATTGAATTCAAGGGTAAAAGGATTTAGGGCTATTGATTTTCCCAATCGCCAGATTAATTCTTAACTCTTTAGCTATAATCTCACCGTAATACTCTATGAGGATTATGAGTTCCGGGCTACCGTAATTACCTCTCGATCAATTACGATAATTTACTAGAAGCATTCTCTCGAACTACTCTAGTTAACAATTTATGCAACTCAGAATTATCCCACCAAAGTTTCGTTATTTCTAACCCCACTTTTAAATTCAAGTAATTAATCTCTTAACTGACACAAAAGTGGTATTGTTCAATAACAGTATAACCAAGTGTTCTTTCTGAAGCAACACAAGGTAACTAGATACGATTAATCAAGGGCCCTTTCAATTAACCACAATACAATACGTAGTTGAACAATCATAGAACAAACACGACTCAATTATAATAAAATAGAGTCAAGACTTCATCCAACAATTGGTTCCATCAACCCTAGGTAATAGATTTAACTACTCATACTAATGAAAAACAAATCACTAAAATAATTCATAATCAATAAATAAAAGTATGAAGAAGAAGATGAAAACTCTTAGGAAATTATCCGTCTTCTCTCCCTTGTTCTTGCCTCTAAAATCTTCTAAAAATAGCCATCCTTACTTCTGAGCGAGATTAGGTTTCATATAGGTTTAGGTTAGTCGCCTAGAAAATTACATAATTAACCCTACGTGTTTGGCTTTCGTCCGCCCATCCGCGGTCGTGGATTCGACCGCGGATTCGGCCGCGAATTTCCGCTGCCTCACTGCCTTAAGTTCGCGGACCAATTCACGGCCGCGCACCTAGAGGGGTCGTCTCGCTTGCTTTTCTCACTCCTTTTTGACCGGGCTAACCTTCGATTGGCCTTTCACACTCCATGTTGACTCCAAAACACTCGTTAGCCCCTCCTAGCTCGGAGTAGCTCCTGTAACGCATCAAATTCTTAATTAGAGCATTTTGTTATCTTTTAGCATTCAAATATCAATAAAGTACGGCTAATTTAGAGTGTAAGTACTGTCTAAATTGCATAATTATAGCCTTCAAATATCAAGAAAATCTTTTTGGTTTTTTTTTTCTTTCTACTTTAGTCCCTCAAGAAACCCGTCGAATGATATCCATCGTCGGGCCAAGTCAAAATTGATTTATACAAATAAACTATGAAACTATCTACATACAACAAAGTATCCCCCACCCCACACTTAAAAAGATGGCATGTCCGCATGTCATACAAAGTAAAGTAATGCGAGGTAAAGGAACTTCCCTGGTGGATCAGTCTTGATCGGAGATAGTGCCAGGGTTGAGATGACATGCTCTCCCCAGTGCACGCAGCCAACCCATGATTTTCTTTTCTGACTTCGCATTTTGGGTAGCCAAAGTATCAACTCTAGTCCCCAATTCCATGACGGAAGTGCATAGTCCTGCCATGTCTTGTTCTAGGGCTGTCATTCGCGTGCTCCGCCTGCCCTGGGATGGTCCCTCAGTTGTGGCAACTTGTTCCTGTGGGGATGAGGCAGGTTCAACCTCCTCCTGCCCGTCATCACCCTCTTCTGACTCATTAGAATCGTCACTATTAGTTGCCCCTGGTGCCACCGGGTCTTTCCCGATGGTCACTTTGTCTGCTCGAAACTTTGCTTCTTTCTTTACCATGCAATCCACATTTGGGTTCTCATGCACCCTTGCTGCCCGACACAATCTAGTGATCAGAGAGGAGAAAAAGAACCCATACCTCTTCTGTGTTGAACGGACGAACATCTCAGATTGAATAACCTTGGCCACATCAAAGTCGTCGCCATTCACGAAGCACTAGATCAGGGCAGCTCTCAGACCATTTACCTTTATGGTGTTATGGGACGGTAGCAAGCGACTGTTCATGATGTACAACCAGCATTTTCCTTCAAAAGTGAGTGAGGAAGAGTGTAGCTTCGATCCCGGCACAACCCACACTACCTCTTTGTCTGGTGCACATATAGTTCTGAAAAACCTGTTTCATGTGATGGGTTCTCTCCTGTAAGTATCATAGAAATCTCCTCCCCATTGAATTCAGGCAATCGATACACTCTTCTGATGGCTTCTATCGAGGCATCCACCCTCGTGTGTCGCACAATGTATATTCTATCCTCATGTTCGGGGCAGTTTGCATAGAACTCCTGAACAAGCATCAAGTTACCCTCCTCCGGCTCTTCGAAAAAGCTGTCCAATCTGCGCCTGATCAACTCCCGAAACATATTAGGGCACTCATCCTGGAGGGATGCCCTGTCAATACCCATTTCCGGTACAGGTGTTTTAGTGGCCTTCAAACTGAAACGGTCTTGGCAGCTTTAGAGACAAACCTGGTACGATCAAACTGAGCTGCGCTAGCCGGTGCCCGTCCCCGAGATAAGCCTCCATGACCATTTGATGAGGCCCTGATAGCGCTTCTCTTCCTTGAAGGTTGTATGTTACCTACACAATAAATACTACTATCAGTGGAGAGAGGAATATGTGTCCCAATGGCGGTTACTCAGACTTCACTCGCACAATTGGTCACAATTTATATTCAACACTCATTAAGGCAAATCAACAAATAAGTAGTTTGCATATGTTCCCCCAATTTACCCAAAGACACAATCAGACTACCATTCCTCACAAACCCAACAATCTCTTCCTCTAAATCAATCAATTCAAATAGCCTCCATACACCACATATAAACCACAATCCAAATCCCAGACAAAAGTACCTATGATTTTACTACCCTATACAGAAAAGGAAAAAAAAAGAAAAAATACTAAGAAAGAGGAATAAAATCATGTACTTACTTGGAGATCTTGAGAAGAACGGAGGTTGGAGATCGGTTGAGTGGAGAAGAGAAGGAAGGATAAGAGTCTTGTGTTGAAAGGAAAATATGGGGGAAGGGAGGGGTTTGGGTTCTTGAAGTTAGGAAGGGAAGAAGAGAAGTGGGGGAAGTGAGGGGTTTGGGTTCTTGAAGTTAGGAAGGGAAGAAGAGAAGTAGGGGAAGTGAGGGGTTTGGGTTCTTGAAGTTAGGAAGGGAAGAAGAGAAGTGGGGGAAGTGAGGGTCTGGGTTAGGGAAAAGAAGGGGGTTGGGGATTAAAAATAAAAACTTACC